AACTCATTTATCCATGCTAACTTTGAAAGCATACATAACAAATTAGAAAGTCCACAATCATACTATAAAATAAATGATTAATTACAAAATAAATACAGACCTCTGGTGACAATATGTCAAATTTATAGAAAAGTATACCGATTAAATACAAACCTTTAATCATCTTAGTGCAAATTTCACAGACTAACATACACTTTGATAGGACTTACACTTTATGAATATAATTTCAGTTCAAGAGAATAACATTATTAGAACAGAGAAAATTATTAAATCACTAGAGGCCCAGTACACAAATTCATGCACAGGTGGGGGGCCCTCAGCCTGCCCAGCAATCTGGGCCAATCAGGCCATCTCACCCAATCCCGAATGGGGCTGATCAGGCCGACTGGCTCGGGGGAGGGATTGCAGGAGGTTGGTCAGCTGTGGGAGGTTGGCTGTGGGAGTAAACTGACCACCAGGGGGCAGCGCCTGCATTGAGCATCTGCCCCCTGGCGGTCAGTACACATCATAGCCACAGGTCAGATGGCTGAATGGTTGGCCAGTCGTTTAGACTTTTATATGAATAGATAGATGATTAACATTAAATACAAAGGTTCTAACTCGGATCAGTACACATCATAGTGAGGTTGTAATGTTCGCTTAGCCTTTATATATATATAGACTAGAGGCCTGGTGCACAAAATTCATGCACGGGGGTGTCCCTCAGCCCGGCCTGCACCCTCTCCAATCTGGGACCCCGTGGGGGATGTCCCCCCCATAATCCGGGACTGCTGGCTCCTAACTGCTTGCCTGCCTGCCTGCCTGCCTGATGGCCCCTAACCGATCCCGTCAGCCCAATTGCCCCCAACTGCCCTCCCCTGTCGGCCTGAACATCTCCAACTGCCCCGAAGGCCTGATCTCGCCTCCAACTGTCCTCCCCTGCTGGCCTGATCTCACCCCCAACTGCCCTCCCCTGCCGGCCTGATCCTCCACAACTGCCCTCCCCTGCTGACCATCTTGTGAGGATGTGGGGGCAGACATCTTGTGAAAACGTCGCATGACGCCACATAGGCTTTTATTATATAAGATAGCATGTTATTTACATGGAAATCTTTCTAAAATAATTTAGTAAAAAGACTACAGCAAAAGTGAATGAAGACCAAATTTTACCTTTTCTGTATTGTAATATAAAGATTTCAAAGTAGTAAACAACGGTGGGCAGCCTTTACTGAAGTTAACTCTCAGGAACTTATCCATTAGCTCTCTAAATTTTTCACCTAGAAACAAAAGTGTACTTTGTTATGGTCTGATTAATGCAAACAGTTCTCAAAATGATTTTATAAATAAAAATCAATTCAGAAACAAATACCCTCCTTGCCAATTTTTAAACCCAAAAAGTCAGTCAGCAGCATGATTTGTTTGTTACCAGCAAAAAGCCTAACACCAAATATCTCAGTTGGCAGCTATAGTTTTCCCTAGATCTAGGTTCAAAATATCTTTAAGGAACACTTCCAAAGATGGATAAACAAAACAACTGTGCAGCTTGAGTAAAAATATAGTCCCCACCCTAAATATAATCCCCATAGCAAAATATCTTTCCTATCCAGGACAGAGTCAGTCCTATGAGCAGACAACTCATAAAGGACTCTGAAAATTATAAAATGATTATACTGTAACCAGACTATATTCAAGTAGCAGATAAAATATTTTTTAAAAAATATTTGCGGTATTTACAATTGTTCCAAATCAACTAGTTATTTACTTCAACATTCATTCATTCCACAATCATCTATCAAGCACTAACTATGTGCCAGGCACCATTCCCAATACTGGGTATTAACACATTGTATGCGGGAAAAGTATTTATATGTTTTACTTAAACGTTTTATGTTGACTGGTAGTAGAGCGCGGGACACGTATTAATACATTTTTTATAGACTAGTGGTAGAATGCGGGTAACGTATAAATATGTAAACTAAAGTTATCATAATTTTACTGAACGTTGCCATTTGCGCAAAAAAATTAGCAAAAGGCCCGTGCCACCTGTTAGTGTGCGATAAAAACTACCCGCAAACAATGTGTTAAAATTTAAAAATCATGGAACTTAACATTTCAGGGGTAAGAAAGACCATAAATAAAAGAACATATGTTATTAGACATTAGACTGAGCCCTGGGGTGTTCTAACATTAGAATTAAAAGAAATACCTCATTTGCAATATCAAGTAAATAATTCTACTACTGTTAAAGCTTCCCCCCAAAATTTTGGTATTAGTTTTCGAAAGCAGATAAAAAACTGAAAAAGATATTAACATTAAATACAAAGGTTCTAACTCGGATCAGTACACATCATAGTGAGGTTGTAATGTTCGCTTAGCCATATAGACTAGAGGCCTGGTGCACAAAATTCATGCACGGGGGTGTCCCTCAGCCCGGCCTGCACCCTCTCCAATCTGGGACCCCGTGGGGGGTGTCCCTCTCATAATCCGGGACTGCTGGCTCCTAACTGCTTGCCTGCCTGCCTGCCTGCCTGATGGCCCCTAACCGATCCCGTCGGCCCGATTGCCCCCAACTGCCCTCCCCTGTTGGCAGACAAAATATTTGAACATTTTGACAGTAAAGGTTAATATATAAAGACATGTATTTGTCCACTCATTTCAAAAAAGAGCTAGCTGGTATGGCTCCATGGATTGAAAATCACCCCATGCACCAAGAGGTCATGCACATGCCTGGGTACAAGCTCAATCCCCAGTAGGGGGCATGCAGGAGGCAGCTAATTAATGTTTCTCTCATCAATGCTTCTATCTCTCCCTTTCCCTTCCTCTCTCTAAAAATCAATAAAAATATATTTTTTTTTAAAAAAGAATGCATGGTACAAGAACCAAGATGGCGGCGTAAGTAAACACCCGTACTTGCTTCCTCACACCCAAACATAAAAATCACAACTAAAATACATAACTATCATCCAGAACTGCGGGGAAGAAGGCTGAGTGGAAGTACTACAAATAGAGGGGTAAAGAAGAAAGCACATTGAGACTAGTAGGAGGTGCGGAGCATGGAATGGGCTGGCACCCGGGTGTACCGCTTTTTTAATCAGGAGGGAGATACAAGCTCCTGCTTGCTCTGGGCTCCAGTGCCGGGTGAGACTTGGGGGCACCCAGACATATACTGAAGCATAGTAACCTCTATTTTGTAAAAACTGCTATTTTAGATTTTAACCCTGCTATTTTGGCTTCTGTAAACAGTTGCTTGAATAACGGAGAAAATAAGCGCAACTATCTGACCTTGCAAGCAGCTCTGCTGATGTCCCTGGTTACTCCCATACTCCAGTTATCTGAAATGTACTATGCTCAAGTTGCAAGCTTCCTGCAAAATATCTACATAGGGCAAAGCCCGCGAAAGGTCCAGAAGTATAATTCCATATTTGGGAAACAAAGGACTGGGAGAATATAAAAAGGGAGGGCGTCCTCCATGTTTTTGCTCAGAGTTTGAGAAGCAATATTCCTCTGAGCCCGCTAGCGAAATAAAAGACTCCAAAATTTGGCTTAATAAGGCGTCCTCTGTTTACCTCACTGATTTACATTATAACATTTGGAGGCCCCAGCGAGATAGTGCTTACCAGCACTTGGTCTCAGACGCCAAAGGCCGACAGCCTTCCGAGGCCTGGCTGCCAGCCCCTGGGAGGTCCCCAGGGGAGACACACCACCTGGGAAGATTCCAAGGCCCTGGAGACACTCCTTGGTGGTTCTGGCTGCCAGACGGAGTCACCAGAAAACCTCTGGAGGTAAGTGAATGCGATTAAGGGATTTCGAGTTCACTTTCCTGCCTGTCCGCCTGTGTTCAGTAATCCTGTACTGAGAGGACTGGACGCAGTCGTAACTTCTCTGGTAGATTCTCACCAAGACGTTGGTTGAGAATCCTGTCTTGGGGTGTGGGTTCAGGGAGGGAACCCACATCTGTTTCTGTTAGGGAAGTTGGGCAGGAATCCAGATAACTGTTTAACTTCCGAGCGAATGTCTGCTAAAGTGCCCTCCAAATCCAGACCTGCCTTTGGGGGCAGGGGAAGTGGCTCGGACTGACTGGTATGTAAATGTGAGTATGAGAGCCTGACTAAAGCGAAAGCTACTTTGTATTATCCTGTGCTTTTGTGTGTTTTTGTTAACTGAGAGAGTTTAGGCCACCTGGCTGCAAACAGATGAGTATTTGTTGATGTTTTTGTCTGTTTAATTTGTTTGGGGCAAGCCCAGTTTTAGGGGGAAGCCCAGTAGGGCTGATTTTGAAATTCTGGCAAAACCAGCAAGCGAAACAGAGGACGCCTTATTAAATGATACAGAACTATAAAAGAAATTCCAGGGTGGCATTCCAGCAGCTGATAAGAATCTTTTTTCTTAGGAATTGTCCTTCTCTTTCTTTTTAAGTATTAGACCGCTAGAGAACTTTTAATTTGCTTTTCCTTGATTTATGAGTTTACTGTATTAGGTTAAAATTTTAAAATTCTAAGATTAATTTAAAGGTATAAAATTTGTAAAGGTTATACCCAGAGAAATTTAAAACAAAGGCCGGCTAAGTTTCAAGGCTACTTGTCGGGAAAAGCTAGAGAAAAAATTGAGTTCTAAAGTTAACTATTTGCAACAGAGTTGTAAAAAGTCATAGAAGTCTCAAGATTTATTTAAACAAAGAACCTGTTATTTACAGCTCCCTTATCTCTTACTGCCCAGGACAGAGGGAATAGTTAATGCAAAAAGGGAGGGGGAGGGGGGGAAGATAAAAACAGAAAACAGAAAAAAATAGGGGAGGGGGGAGGGAGCCATTTCGCTCTGAACAAAAGCCCAGAGGTTTCCTTGGGCAAAAAGGAAGATAGTACTTGCCAAACTCAGCAGGACGGAGAAATTTGCAAAACTCCACCCAGCATCATGTCCATTAAACATCCAGTTGACAGCATTAGTATTAACCAGTACGTGACCGGGATGGAAGCGGGTGGTCCGCCCATGCTTCTAACATTACAAGCCAGCACGGACCAGCCAAGCTGGAACCAAGGCTAAACTTTGGAGCATGGAGGCAAGAGAATGGGCAGTTCTTAAATAAGGATAGACGGTATTCCAAGGGTGGCCCTAGAGGCATAAAATACCCAGCCAGATTAGCATGTCCTTTCTTTGAACAGAAGGGGCAATCATAGTTAACAGTGTAATTAAAAAAAATAGTACTTTCACATTAAGTTATCCCTGTTTTAAATAAAGCTTTCTGGTAATAATTATGTTGATAAGGAAAATCCAGTCCTCTCTCTCCCTATAAAGGCAGAAAAGTCTAAAAACAGAAACAAAAAATAACAAGGGCAGTAAGACCCTTATCCTGCATTCCTTTCCCTATACAACTGGGGGAGAATCTAAGAAATCAGCCAAGAGGATAATTTATAATCTCAGCCTCCCCCTTAGGCACCAAGTAGCCCTTTGGTCACTACACCACCAAAACCCAGCTTTTCTAGGCTGTGAAAGAATTTAGAGCTGCAGCAGTAGCCTGAGATGTTATCTCTAAGGAAGAATATAGCAGGTTTTACTAGACAAGTTTTAATTTACCTCTTAGTTTTTATTGCAGAAGTAAGGTCTCTTGTACTTTGTTAGAGTTTTTGTTGTTGAAAAAGTAAAAGTACATTTAAGGTATGTTCACAAATATTAATCTGAGAAGTGTTATCTGTTTGCTTTCTGGTAATCATTGAAAAATTAGGGTTTCTAAGAATAAGGAATTCTAATACATTTTAGAAAAAAAAGAAAGGGCCAATCAGGTTGCTGAGGGTATAGCAAAAAGAAAGAATATTAAAGTAGAGATACTTAATATAAGGTCTAAGGCAGGGGTCCTCAAACTACGGCCCGTGGGCCACATGCAAATACAAATATTGTATTTGTTCCCGTTTTGTTTTTTTACTTCAAAATAAGATATGTGCAGTGTGCATAGGAATTTCTTGCTAGTTTTTTTTTAAACTATAGTCCGGCCCTCCAACGGTCTGAGGGACAGTGAACTGGCCCCCTGTTTAAAAAGTCTGAGGACCCCTGGTCTAAGGGATGGTTATGCATTTTTAAAGGACATAGAAAAAAGGTTTGAAAGCTACTTTAGAAGTATAAAATTTATAAAGGCTGTGTATGTAATAAAAAGGACAAGAGAATTATTAGAAGATTAATTAAATGATACAGACCAGTAAGCCAGGAAGAGTAAATAATTTGCATTCTGCCTTCCGAAACAGAGTACATAGTTATGCCAAAGTACTCAGGGGGACTGATAAAAGAAATCCAACTAGTATTATTTACTGTCCACACCCAAGTACAGATAAAGTTAGAAAAATAAGCCTTATTTTAGTCAGTTCTTTTCTACTAAAATATTTCTATTTATCAGGTATTTAATAAAAAAGGACCATCTTTTAATCATAGGAACTAAAGTTTGCTCAGCTATGTTCCTGTCTAATACACTTTAATATATAATCTTTTAGTAAAATCAATTTTGACAATCCTTCAAGGGTTTAAATTTTAAGAAACTTTTTCTTGATCTAGAATTAGCTTTACTAGTAGATCATCCCAATAGGCTCTGAAATGCCTCACATGTTTGTTTTCTCTCTCATAAAGAAAGATTTTATATAAAGGTACATAGAAACCTTTGTCAAATACAGTTATAACTAATAATTATTGATATATTATAGAATGTTGGGTTTTACAGACACCATTCCATATCATTTGTATTATAATGAAATCCATAAACATGTCATTTTAAATTTTTTCTTGTCATCTGGAGACTGTTTTGTTATAATACATTGAGAAAAATATTACTCTGAAAAGTCCATAAAAAGGACTGGCAAGGAAAATCAGATGATCTTAAAGCAGGTCAGTATATTTTTTCCCCTATATGATCCCTCCGGAGTTTGGCAATTCTTAGTGAATGAACCATGGCAATGCATTTCTTTGCATAAATTCAATAACACCACTTTCAAATAGTTTTATTGACCAAAAACTTTGACTGGAATATCATGTTTTAAGAGCCTGATCTGGACTCTGAAGACTTAAAGCCTTTAAGAGTGTCATATACAAAGCCTGGTATCTTGCCTACTAGCTCTGAAAATAGATGGTGCTAGAGTGTCAGGCCCATACCCTGCCATCGCTGGCAATTGGCCAGGGGAGAAGGGGAGCAACAAGGGCACCTCTGTGTCCCCGCAGAACCCCCACGCACTCTAGGCCACAACAAATAGGAGGGTTACTGAGATGGACCTTAAAGCCTAGGGCATGGGCCCCTGTAGAGCCACTGCAGGTGAGGAATTCACCTAACCCAGCAGATACTGCAGGCAGGCCTGCCAGCAGCTAGATGTCTTGGCTTCTCTGCCCTAAGGGGCACATTGAGACTCAATCATGAAATTCTGGCAAAAGTGATCAATTACCAAGCTTGTTGTGTTTATGCAAACAATCAGGCCAAATTGAATACAATAGATAAGTTGGTCTTAATTTGGCTCTTTCAATAAACATAAGGGTAATTTTAAGGAGAAAAATTCTATTTCAATAGGAG